GTTACGCTACGAACTTGTACACAGCAGGTGAATTTGAGGTCATTTTGAAAAAAAAAAGATTTATCGCCCACATTACTAAGATTTAACAAAGGTTTTATACTTTCAAAAAATTAAATGATGCAGCAGATTCATGTTTTCTGAAGTCGATGAAATCTGTGCTTTAGATAGGTCACCCGTCTTTACAAAGTTTCAATTTCTGACATTTCACAGCTGTTAATCAGGGTTTGGATTTATGGAGGCACATATCTGCCCACGCATTCTAGAAATTTATCTCTGCATTACTTAAAGTAAGTAATGTGCCCCCAAAAATTCTCTTCCCTAGTGTAGCCTAACTGGGCAAAGTACTGAAACACTTCACCAATTGATCCCAGAATGCAGTGCGATTTGTTGACTTTCCCCAAGCCCAGATAATTAGATAAGATATAGATAGATATAGACATAATTAGATGTAGATAATTAGCCCTCTCCAGGTGGCATGTCTTCAAGACAGGCAGTACTGCTATGTTTGTGCCTTCCCCTTTTTGTGCTTGGTGTTGTTTGAGCTCTGTGTGTACAAAAGAGAAATGCGTTTTGACTCTAAAGGCTGAAGGGAGGAATGCTGAAGGGCACATTATCTAGTCTGGGTGCTCCTTGACACCAGAAATTCTGAAATAGCAGCTTCAACGGCTTCATCTGTTGCTGGCGAGGATGAAATTTAACTTTCAGTAAATGTTGCTGTCTCCATCGCAGTCTGTCAGCTAAAGCAAATTACCAGTCTTGAATAATTAAGCTGTTCTAGAGTGACATCCTCATTGAGTGGCTTCTTGCTGTTCAAGGCAACTCGGCTGGGAAGGAAGGACCATTTAAACGAACAGCATGCATCTTTGACACTGTGAGTTCAAGCACGGACAGAACACACAGAGAATTTCAGAAGTAATTTGCATTTGTACAATGTGTTCACTGAGCTGGAATTGAGCTATTTCAAAGATCTGAATTAAACCTAATACATTCCTTTCATTTTTTATGCACTTCAAGTGTGACAGATTGTTCCGAGGAATACTTGTATTGATATGTATATATCAAGTACGTTCAAAGTTCAGTAAATGCATATAATTCATGCACATTTTTCTAATACTTTCCATAACCTTGGCTGGAATAGAAGTCAGACTTCCTGGTCTTGAATGCTTGCAGAATTGGCACTGTTCTTTTACATGGGCACCACACCAGCAGTGCTCCAGTCTGACTGCTACGGCTGTCTAGTCTATGTTCTTTGCTTTTCCCTAAGCCTTTGGCTTTTCCATTATCTATCTCTTCACAGGAACTCCAAATGTCCAGTGTTCACAAATGACTCTTCACTTGAATTACAAGATCTGGGTCTGAGCAGTAGTCTAGTCTGACAGAGGTGTGTCAGACTAGACATCTTATGTGTCACTGGTGTTTTTCATCTGCCTCAACTAAGGAAAAGATCCATGAATGATTTGAATGGCAAAGGCGTTTTTTGAACAAGACTTGTCTCAGCAGCTATAACTCGATGCATTACGTCTTGGGCAAGGCTGCCTTTTGGATGATGGGGGTCAGCAGGGCTCCTTCAGGAACTGGTGACCTGTGAAAAGAGAGCAGAAGCAGCTGAAGGCCATGCATTACTGGGTCTGTGTTTGACACAAGCAGGGCCGAAGATGCTTTGTGCAGCTAAAGGGAGAGAAAATGGGCTCTTTAATCGAAGGGGAAGCCTGAGGCTTTCCTGAATATGCATTTTCACTTTTTCCTGCAGCAATCCGGGAAGAAGTAGATAGATTGGGTTCTGTGCTGCCACCTTTCAAACTCATTATACCGCAAATGGAGTGGCTGTGACACTCCAGCATCAGGCTCTCCTCTCTGAAGACACCTACACTGGGAGGAAAGAGAAAACATAACAGAAGGAACACAAAACACTATTATGGCAGCCCAGCAATTTGAGAAGCTTTTTCAGCAGTGATGGAGTACTACCTGAAAAGAATTAAGCTTTCTCAGGGTACTTTTTACTGAAAGGAGCAAGACTGTTTATACTTGTGCTCATCTGAGTTCCTTACATTTTTTTTTGTTATACCTATTTATTCTGGATTAAGAATGTCAAGACGTTTAAACAGCTTTGCTCATTTGATATGCCCTGGAAAGAAGATTCAGTGGGAGCTGGAGATTAGTTCATGTCCCCTGTGCCCCAGAGCTGCACGTCAACAAATTCACCTTGAAGACCAGTTATGGGTCTCTGGCAGGTTTGCATCAGGAAGGTATCAAGGAAAGTCCACATGACTGATCTGACTGTGTCTAAAGCAACTTGCATTTATACCCATTTATAGAGTGCGTTTTCGCAAGGTGCCTTGGTCAAAGGTGCAACAGAAGTACTCTGCGGAGGCTTCGGGATCAAATCCCTTCATTTCCACACCCATTCCTGCGCATTGCTGCATCGCCTGCCTGATGATGTTATAAGTATGATGGCATTGATCTAACAGGAGTGTCCTGCTCCTGTAATGTCCTGAACAGGAGCTCGCAGGCTGGTTACGTTACAGTTGATAGACTCAAGATCCGGCCACTCACTCCTTGTTTTGTAGAGGATGTGCATACGTTATCTGTTACATTGTGCATTATGGGAAATGCAATAACCAAAATTCTTATTTTAAAAGGCAATCATCCATATATCAGGGTACTTTATCCTCAAACAACCATTTATGATTAACTGAGCTCTTTTAAATCTCTATTTGAACAGAAAAATACGTTTTTTGAAACTGAGCAGTGGCTCTTTGAGATTATTCCCCGATGTTTGTTTGAACAGTGGTGCATCACAATGACTGGTAAATGTTGGCATTAGCATTTTGGCATTTCAGGTAACGCTGTGTGCCTTCTGTTTGAGAAGACTTTTTTTGTTCCAAGGTAGGGATGTTCGATTATTTTTTTTTGCCATATTTGCTTTATCTTCTTCCTGACACAACCCTCTCATTTGGCCCTGGCTCACTGTCACAGCACCAGCTGAACAAGATGTTTTGAGAATTTGTTGGTTTTAAACCAAATCCAACCAGTTAGTACAGTAACTACTCTGCTCTAAAAACAGATACCTAGAGAAGGCTGTTCTGTACAGGGCACAGAGAGCACACTGGTGGATCAGTCTAATCTTACAGGGAGTTTATTAACTTCTGATTTGTGCGGCACCGATGTTAACCGGACAGGATACTGCTCATTGGGGTGGTCCTTCTGGAGGGCTCCAGGAGCCGAGGGACCCAGCTGCCCAGGTGGGGCCCGAAGACGAGACCTGTAGGTCAGCTCTCAGCGTCCCGCAGCCTCTGGACAGCCCAGGCAAAGCGCCGAGCTGCAAAACAGGACCTGGATGGGCTCTGCCGGGAAATGCCTCCAGAGGCAGGAGGCAGAAATGAGAGCGAACGGTGGGAGAGAAGCTGAATAGAGGTCTGGCAGAGGCCGTCCAAGACGAGCTCCAGGAGAGGGCTGGCCAGAGGTGGCTGGGCTCAGGGGTGTGAGGAGGCCGTGAGGACGGGGAGAGCCGAGCCAGTGGCAGGAGGAGGCCTGGGCCCACAGGCAGGCCATGGTGAGCGGGGGCTGTCTGAGCTGAGCCCCGGGAGCCGGCCAGCTCCGACCCCCCGGAGTAACGGCCACCGAAGAATCAGAGCGAGCACAGTGGTCTGAGAGGGAAGGGGACCGGCGTGTGGGCAGCACTGCCAGGTTGATGATTCAGAGGCGCTTCTGGATCCTACAGGGAGAGGGATGACTGAATAACCGAAGGCCAATTAGTGATGGAGAGAACCCACTGCAGGACAGTGGGTGTAATAAATGAAAATGTCCTTGCTTGTCACTGGCCTTGTGTTTTTAAAATGCTCGTATTCTTGTCCCTTTCCTTATCTGGGGACATGAAGGGATGGGAGGTTTCAAGCAGTCTTTGCAGAGGTCCTTCAGTTCTCCCAGAAAGGCGCAAAACCATGGTATTGATGTGGGAAATACAGTATTCCAGAGCACATTGAGCCATCAATACACGGGATTATTATGACTCAGTTAATGTGTACAAAGTGATTCCAGTGGGTCGGCACAGTGGTGAGTATTCCTGCCCTGCAGTTCTGGGACCCTGGGTTCAGTCCAGTAGTCCATCTACTGCGGGAGAGATGCATTTTAGCACAGATCAAACCATCCAGAGTTGGTACAGTACATATATTTTCAGCGGATCAGAAGTATTAAGGTTTTGCATAATAGCCAATTAAAATCTTTTAACAAACTATTAAAATATTGTGGAAATTATCCAAGCTTTTGAGTGTCGAACGGAAGAAATTGCAAAATGACAGGCCAAAAATATATTGGCTTTCTGACCTAAACAAAAATTAGGTTGACGTGGAAAATATTACTTTAGTTTTCTGTAACATAACAATGAACGTAATGAGGATCACCGATGCCTCCAGGACGCTAAAATGCGATTTTCCTCATTCAGACACATATTCTGCCATTCTTTGAATTCATTGCTCAGTGAACCCTAGAAGACCCAGTACAAACCAAACAAATCTGAAGTCATGCAAAAACGAAATCTGTGTTGACATACAGAACATATGGGAATAATATCCCAGGGAAAACGAAAGATCCCCTTGGGCGCGTTCAGCACGGATTACTTTCCTTCTCCTGTTTTCTGCTAAATGTTTCCAGTCCATAACTATTAACGTAGTGTTTTTTTTTTTCTAATTAGATGCATATATTAGATTTGGAGGGGGAAAACAATGTCCCTTAATGTTTCTCCCGCTTATATTTGTAATATAAAATTACTTCTGTGACGTCCGCTGGTTAATTGGAAATGCCTAACAGCCCGTGTATCTGAGATGAAAAGGCCGTTGTCTTTTATCTGCCCAGAGGTAAGTGTGTTTGTGTTTGATATTGTACATTATTCTCTCATCTGAAGTGCGCAAACAAACTGGAAGGCAGGCCGTTTCAAGCGCCAGGAGCTGCTGCGCTCCCTTACCCTGGCCGGTAGGAGGCGCTTTTGTCACTTCCGAGATTTCCGCTGAGCTCTGTGTCGGCGCCCTGCTGATACTTTCACGTTACACATTCTTAAGAAAACAAGAGGAAGGTCGCTTCGCATTGAAGGTTTGTGCCGTCATTTCGGTTTAAATGCGATGCATGGAAAAAGTTTGTTGATTCTGCTTGAGATGCAGCTGTAGGACAGTCTTTAAAACAACAAAGGACGTCCCAACTTCCTAACTCCATAAAATATGCACGTAATCGCTGTATCAATGTTAGAGCTGTGAGCAGCAGCAGGAGGCGGCTCCAACGGAGGGAGAAGGGGAGACATTCCTGCAGTTTGAATGAATTTTCCCAGTCTTCCTGTAAGAGCAATTATAGTTCACAGAATTTCTTCACAGACCTAATTGAGACGCGAGCACACACGAATCACAGCTATCCAGACATACTGTACTCCGACGGACGAGGTCGGAGAACGAACTGGGATATTCATCAGATAGGTCAACTTGCAAAACCAATAACTTCGGAACTCTTAAAAATATGTATAAAATAACAATTAAGACAAGTGCATCTGCTATACTCCGAAGGGAACATTGATAGAATGTGGGGGGAAAATACACAAGCTTTTTTTTTCACTGAAGCAAGGGTTTATGTGCAATATTTTTAGAGCATTTACTGTTTTATGCTTACTGAGTCCATCAAACATTTGGAGGCAATGAGGTTTCGCAACAGATCTTGTTAATCCACGCATAAACTGATTTTCCTTTGATTGTCATTTGATAGAATTCCGAGAGTGAAATGATCTTAATTAGAGATACACAGCCAATTCTGAGCCATTCTAGTTCAAGAATTTAAGTCTCTAGTATTTTAAAATAATGAATATTGCATGATGAATTAATAGATTTAATTTCCATGCCATTCAGCTACGGATGCTACACATTTTCTTACATTAAGAGGTTGGTACTCAGTATTTCATGCTATTAAATGAATGTTCTAGTCCAGGGGTCTCTGAATTAGGTCACCCTTAATCACCTCTTATTTAAAGATTAGGAACACTTGTTTAAGCATTTAATGTTTCAATGAAATGAGCACTAGTCCTTGAGGAATGAAATATACTCTGATTTGTTCCAAATGATCTCTAAATCGCTTACTTGAACATATCTCTAGTTTAGTTGATCATAAATAATTCTTCCAGACTTTTTGAAATTGTTTTAAAGACTGCCTATGAAACCTGCTGGTCTGAGTCTGTTCAGTACCAGGTGTGGAGACCCCTGGTTTAGACTATAGCCTTCTATGTTTTGTACCATTTAAAATTCGCCACACCCATCCTCTCAAAGACTTGTCCTGCTGGACTGTTGTCATGGTAGGATGAGCCAACAGGAAAGGCAGCAGGTGAGGTTTCTTGAGACCTGCAATCATGTTGCCATCAATCACATTAATCAAACTAGACACTTTGAATGATTTTTTCATCCTGGAGGTGTTCCAAATCGCGGGCTCTCTGATTTTGGCCTATAATTGATGGACTTTTTGGCTGTAATGTTTTGCCAGGTTAGTAATTGCCAGCAGTGAACCAGACAGTGCTCTGATTAAGTTAGAGCCTCTATCATACCAATAGCAGAAAGGTATTGTTTTGTTGATAAGCAAAGAATGTTTGAAAAATATAAAAGTAACTCTGCTGATTTTTGCCAGGTGTAGCTTGTAACAGTTACCTCAGTACCTGTGTCCAAATCCTCTTTCACTTAGGAGGTGATTAAATTCTTATGCAAGTTGCTCATGATTATCATAGTCATTTCTGAATAATCAATTAACGAGCAGATAACCAATATCCAAAATTAACTTTTTTAAAAATATGCATCCATTATATGTCTGTGATGCTCTGCGTGTGCGGTATCACTGTAATTTCATTGTCCTGTCCTGAAACATTTACAGAACGACAGTTTGATAGACAAACTGTGTCAGTTTTCATTTTCTGGGGGATTCTTTTCTTTTCTGTTCTCCTCTCTAGCTTTCCTCTGACACGAGAAGAGCAATTAACAATTATCACTCCTAGGGCATTTCAGTGGAATGTTGGCTTTTTAGTCGTCACACAGCAATGACTAGAATCACAAAGTGTAACTGAAAATGTGGATTGGTTTTAGATACGTTGTATTAAAGGCATGCCTGTCTTTCCTACCTTATTCAGGTTTATTTATATGTGCACTTTCATATTCCACATTTTAATTTTCCAGGTTGTGATTTCCTTAAACCTGGCAGTAATCTCTGTTAAGAGATTGGGGTTTTTGATCCAGGGCTGATTTTTAACTTTTCTGGATTTTCACTGATAAAACCAAAAGCTCAAGAATCACCAAACAGCATGCAGCAGAGCACTGAGCATAACTAATCTCATTGTGCCTAACCCTCACCTCCCCTCACCCCCAAACAAGTCTAATATAATCATGATCTGCATGTAAATGTGAAATTAAATGGTACGGTAACTGGACCTTATAACCAAAAATCCTTTCAAGCAAGCAGGAAATCCTGAAAACGATTTTATTAATTCACTGTTGAGTATTAAACAGTGCAATGTGAGACTGTGTGAACCAGCAATATTGAACTTTGTGTAGTTTCTAAGTCTTGTTCCTCCTTTTGAGACACTGTAACACGGTATTTTAACTTCTAGCACTAGAAAGCGGGTTCCTTGTGGCTGTTCTTATTGTTAAATCCATCTGTAAAAATGGGAATATCCTGCTTGCCAGCGTGCGGACGAATGGGCTGCTGGGTACTGCCTGGCGGTTCACCACTGCGCCCCCATGCCAGTGAGCTCTTCTCTGCCCCCAGCGGGCAAGCGCCGCGGTCCGAGGATCGCAAGAGTCAATGGGCCCTGGCAGCTACCGCAGCAGGCGTGCTGGCACAGCAGGGCACACCACTCGGCGCGTCAAAGACAGCCTGCCTGAGTCAGGGCTGCCCTCCCCCTGGTTAGTCACAGCTGGCTGCTAGAGACAGCACAGAGTGCAACCTGTGATGTGCGGAATAAGGGGACTTCAGACTTCCTTAAAAAAGGCAGCAACATTCGTAACTCAAGACGTATATATTAGTACACCCATTGCACATGCTAATGTGTTATTATTAACGCACCTTGCTGACAATTAAAATGAGCTGGTTAGTGACGTGAGTAGACAGCCCACGTCAGGCAGTATTTCAGAGCCAAACAGTTCATGGGTTTGAGCCATGAAAAAGTACATTATGTCTTTCATTTTGAAAATTCCATACAATGTAGATACACGTCCTACAGGAATATTAATATATAGAAGACAATTGAAAGTAACAGTTGAAAGTACTAGCATATAGACCATTGTATATTGTGTAATTCTAGCTAGTCTTGATGAATTGTAGAATATTGTATTATTCCTGTAAGAAACTGTACTAGTATTGAATTCCTTTGGTCTTTGGTCTATATTTTAATTTCCATAGGAAACCAAACCAAAATATTTCCAGCATGACTTCCATAGTTTTTGTACTTTACTCCTCGGAATATTAAATAGCAGTCTTCAGTCTCTGTTTTTACTGATGTGTTGAAAAGATTTATAAGGCAGTTTTACTCAGTTGCTTTTTTGCTAAAGGTCGAGCAAGGATTTCAGAAAGGGATCTGGAAACAAAACAAAATCTCAGATAGATGTGGTGTGACTGGGATTTCTCACGGCTTGTCCAGGACTTCAGAGACAACCTGTTGTTAACAGTGAAAAAATTCTCAGTTCTTGCTCCACACACTTTACTTTTGTACGGCAGTTCTGAAAATCCCTCCCTGCAGGGCTACTCAAGAGCTCGAGGTCTCTGTGGAGAAGAAAGGCCTAAATTACAGCTTTGTTTCTGCCCATTATCAGAGCACTGGCAGACACAGATTAGCTGTGCAGCTTTTCCAGTAAGACTCTGCTAATACTGTTCCTCCTCTGAACAGATACAGCTTGGCTCTGTATCAGCAAGAAACTCATCTCTGTGCAGGGGTCAGGAAACACTCTTACAACAAAGACACTGTCTGTCTGATTTCCTATATGTGTTTCTGTACTAGAAAAAAAAAAAAGTTGAGCTCTTACTGAAAGTTCAGGATACCCCTAACTCCTGCCAATCACCCACTGCCGGGGATAGGATATATAGGGCATTGGTGTCTATTTCCCAGCACCCACTGCTCCCACAGGGCTTGTTCTACTGTAGGTGCCTGGCGACTCTTCCATATAGGCATGACTTCGCCCCCTAAGCTTCCACACATACTTACAGTACATCTTCATATCCCTTAACACAAAGCTGTGTTGGGCTGTTTTCTGTATGCCTGGAAATCTTTGCTATTACGTTTTGGAACATTACGTTTTGGATATTGGCCCTGCAGTCTGAGGCATCCCATCTAAGGCATCTAAGAAACCCTCCAGTGCGCAGGTTGCAGTGGCAATCCTTTGCCTAGTGGTGGTGCTAAACTCCTTTCCCCAGCATTGGACAGAGCCAACAAGCCAGAAGAGGTCAGTAACACCGTGCAAAAGACTAAAGATTAGCATTTTTAATTAACTGTGGCCTCTTAAAGTTTAGAACAGCACACGCCTTCACATTCATGGTTGGAAATGTTGGGAGTAATAGCAGACTTGGCATCTGTCAGTGAACACTCTTCGGGGCAGATGGCAGCTCTACCATCAGTAACAGCAGATATTGGTATGAGGGGAGGTTCCCTGTCTTTGTTGATAGGGAGCCGTGTGGCCAAGGTCTGCTTGGCTTGGTGCAAGATGTTAGAAATGTGCATTAAAGGTGTTTTTTTCCTACAAAAAGGGCTCAGAACCACTGAGTCAGCTTAAACCTAAACCTGAACGGAGAACTAGTAATGATGTAGTAAGTCTTACATGGCGAGGAAGAACTCAAGAGGTATGAAATTGGTTCAGTTCTCCCATCTGATCCCCATGTTACTACAGGATTATTTCCCTTAATACAGCAAACCCCAGTGTCACGGCCACAGGCAGAGGTTGATCAATTTTGGCTTCTTCTGCCTCTTTCTCCCTCGTTCAGGTAAGAGCATCTGTTCCTCAGGGTCCTCAGGGTCTTGAGTCGTGTTTAGTTGAAGTAATTAGATAAGTACTCAATGAAAAAAGGTTAGTTTATCTGTACTACAT